ATTTACTTCATATCCAAATGCAATATTTAATGAATTTGAATTAGATATTAAACAAAGAATTACCCAAAATTTTGTTTATTGCTAGGTTAATCCAACAATATTATGCGATGAATTTAATGAAAATCATTTAGCATCAGATGCAATTACATGTTCAACTTCTGATTGGATGAAAGGTGTGTCTAAAGAATTTACATATATTGGTGATAAATCACTTATTCTTGGTTATTGTTATTACTCAAGTGGAAATAGTTATTCTCAGTTTACTGGAACAGTTCAAATTCAAGAAAGTAATTGTACATTATTCCAAAGTGTTATTAATGGTTTTAATGTTAAGGATTCTGTATTGAAAGAAATATATGATAAATAAAGTAAAACACCATTATTTGTTCCAGCTCAAATAACAACTGAATATGATTTCCCACCCAATCAATCTGTTTCTTGAATTAAATGTTCAAACATGATGAGCTACCTAAATACATCTATGTTATTCTTCTTAATCCCAAGATCTAATAATCAATGTACAGTATCTAAAAATCCACATATTAGTGATATTAAAGTTATAACAGCAAACAGAACCATACCAGATCAACAGATGGATACATTATCAAGTGAATTTAGTGAAATTCAATTAGCAAACACTTATTTTTGATACATTATTTGCAGCTCCTCAATCAATAATTAATAGTTTAACGTTTAATGAATATTCTGAAAATACTAATGATTCATCTAAACATATTAAATATTTAAGTGATGCTACTGATTTTATGATGTCAATTCCTTTAGAAAGATATGGTTCTGGATGTTTCTTTGATGGTTTATATTCTACAGCAAATATACAACTAACTCTTCAAGCAATACCTATGTTTGGAGATTATAATCCATATATTAAACCAAGTGGATCTACTGGTTCAGTTAATACTAATGCTATTAATATTATTTTATTAAATGATGCTATGTGGTCATTAACACCAAATAAGGTTGAACTACTTACTAATGTTGATTTAGATACTATGTTCAAATAAAATAATAATATATTTAATCTTTATTTTAGTAATAAAGAAGTTTGAACATTTAATTTATAAAAATGGAAGTATTTTCAACAGTTTATCAAGATAAAAGTAAAAATAGTATTTTTTGCACATCATATTTTAATCCTTCAACAATAACATCTAATGAAATTAAAACTGATAAAATTACAAGCATAGATGGAACAGTAAGTATAAATACAAAAGATATTTCTTCTACTGATTATGTAAATTCTGAAATATTAACATATTATAATAAATCTAAAAGTTACAGCGACAATGTAGCATTAGTATGTAATACATATTCTGATATGATTGCCTCAGCATGTAACTCTTACAGCGACAATGTTGGTTCTAAGTGTAATGCGTACACAGATACAAAAATAGCTTCAATACCAACTCCAAAAATAATATATCCATATCCAAAAATAATTTCACAAGATGTAACAACATATAAAAATGTTACTTATTCTATTAAATCAGAAACTAATAAAACTGCATATTTTAGAATAAAAATTGATAATGTTACAGAATTCTTAACAACAAATAGAATAGTAAAAGTAGTTCCATATGTAATTATTAATAATGAATTTTATAAAGTTATTGAACAAGTTAGTGGTGGAAGTATGTTGAATGGAAAAATATATACAACAGTACAAAATTTATTTAATATAAATGAGCATCCAATAATAATACCAGATACAGTTAGTTATTTATGGGGTGATGGATTTTATTGTTTTAATTATTTCAGTTTATATTTACCAAAGAATTTTACATCAAATAGTAATTTAACATCAATAACAACTAAACCAATATGTGTTTATTTATATTGTAATCTTAATAATTTATTTTATCCTGGTATTAATTATTCAGAAAGTAATCCATATTTAATGTGGAATAATATAAATATAGATAGTAATCAGATATATCTAATAGAACCAAATTTACAAATAACAAATACATCATCTATTACAGAAATATGTCAAGGTTCTTCACTAAAAATATATATGTCATCCAAAGCTGTTTCTAATTTTGCAGATTATAAAACATATATTATTAATTCATTAGGAAGAACTACCACAACTACAATTTATGATAGATTTGAATCAAGTACTGTTTATAATAATTATAATTCTAGAAACGATTTATGGTAATTTTCAAAACATTAATTCTAACTGTAATATGAAATAATAATCTGAATCAATATCGATTATATTATTTTTGTAATCAGTAAACCATATTTTTATTTTTCTTTTATTGTCTTTGATTTCAAATGATTTTTGATTATCACTGTTAGTAAAAATTATAAATCCATCTTGTGAAGGATAATCATTACTAGAATTCAAATCACTTCTTAAAATATTTACACAATCAATCTGACCAGATGAATTATAGAATCTAGTAGCAATTGTATTAACATATTTATTATTAGTAGAAGAAACAAATTCAATTGGTAATTCAACTTCAAATTGATATGTATTTATTACTTTGCAATTATTATTATGTAAATTCATGTATAATTTTCTCATTTTATAAAACAAAAATAAACATATATTTATATAATTTATTTAACTGAGATACCAGCTTTTAATGCTTCTTTAGTTACTAATTTATCAAGTTTATATTGTGCTTTTGATCTAAGTTCTTCAATATCTTCTGTTGTATTAATTTCTTTTGATGATTTTTTCATTTCTGAAATAAGAATACTGTTCTTTTTCTTATTCATAACATCTGTATAAATTTGATTTAAATCTTCTTCACTCATTGCTTTAATTTTGTCGATATTTGGAATATTAGATTTTAATTTATCTATCAATC